GAAATATTCATTAGAAATTAGGTGAAAAAGTATTCAGTCGTGTATTAGAGCTATGACAAAAACTTGTGTTTTTTGAATAAATAAGAACTCCATTTTAGCTGTAAATTTTGAACTTCCTGGTTACAATATTCGATTGATATATTTCAATAGCTTAATATTTTGAACTCTAGCATGGAAGGCAAAGGTGAAGCTATTCTTACATCGACCGACAAAATTAAAGCGTTTCAGAAAGAAATGCACATTTAGTAAAGAAAAACTGTTAAAAATTTTACGACCCATCGGATCCCCGTGATGCTGAAGAATTACTTAGAAGAACTTAGCTCTGATGATGAGGACTATTTACAAGTAAATGGTAGTACAATTTTAGAACTAGTTCTGTTTCCTCCTAAAGACGGAGCAGATACAGATATAGATGATGCATCAAGTGATGAAGAAAGTGAAGCTTCCGTTAGAACAATTGGCAAAGATGTTCTAAGAGGCCCCATGGAAATGTTGAGTACAAATCATGACAATGAGAGGGAACAAGTGCTACTGCACAAGATGATGACGCTCAGATTGGAAATCCATTATTTATGTGATCATCTAGTAACCCATCCTTAATCAGGCATCAACTTAATCAATAATCTGTTATCTTGACCTTAGTTGTGGTCGCTTGCTATTATATTAGTTATTACTTTCAGTACCTTGTTTGTACTAATTTGGACGAAAATTAAGGTAGAGAATATAAGATGACGTTGATGAAGCCTACTTAGGTTGCTTGTGACCGAAGCGCTACAATGTCTTTACTTCTTTTGGGTTGATACCATATAAATTGTAAAGCCTTGGCCGAAAGTAGCCTTGGTTTAATCAAAAACACCCCCTTTTAACATTAGCCAATCTCATATCAATATGATATTAATTGAAGGCCTCGAACGCAAGCGACCTCCGCTAAAGTATTGAAGAAAGAAAGGGTGATTTCATAGGATTAAACGAAAGTCGTACCTTTATAAGTCGTGCCCTAAACACATTGTAGCGCCTCGACCGCAAGCAACCTCGCCTTAATTGATAACATCCTCTGTCATGACTTTAGCCGAGGTCGCTTGCGGCCGAGGCATTAAAAGATCTGTTAAACAGGAACGGGCGAATATGATACTAATTGGAGGCCATGGGCGCAAGCAACCTCAGTTGTATCAAGTATTGATGAAGATTGTGATCAGATCTGATTAGGCTAAGGCCTTAAAACTGGTATCCACATTATAGTGCCTTGCCGGTAAGCGACCTCGGCTTAACACGTTGGCTACCATATGAATCACGTACGGTATATTAGGGCAGAAACTTTCCCATGGCATTGGTAGCCAACGTGTTAAATAAAATCCTATATCCTTTGTTTTAAATTTAGCCGAGATGTTGCCCAAATTAGTGTTAGTATGCTATTTGCAGCATTTCTGTTTAAGCAGCATCCACCGTCTTCACTTTATCCGAGGTCTCTTGCATCCGAAGTATAATAACACTTATTAATTAGCTTCGGGTGCATATGGTATTAATTGAACAACTCGGCTGCAAACGACCTCTTCTAAAGAATTGAGGCTGAGGCTCCATAATTAACATCATATCAATCCAACACTAGTAAACACATTGTAGCGCTTTGACTGTAACTGTCTTGACTTTAACCAAGGTCGCTTAGGGCCCATGTGCTGTAAAATCTTGTAATCAGGTTAGGGTAAATATCAAATTAATTGAGTGCCTCGGCAGTAAGCGACCTCGGCTTAGGTATCAGTGAAAAGGGTGTGATTTCTTCTGATTTAACCGACGGTTCACAATTATCATCATATCAACCCTAAACTAATAAACACGTTATAGCGCCTCGGCTGCAAGCGACCTCAACTTAATCAATAACATCCACTGTCCAAACTTGACGCATTTATCTCAAAAAACCAAAAAGTTCTACCTTTCAACTTTTAATTTTGACATATTTATCAACTTCATAAAAAAACCTTTAAAATGAGTCCAAACTCGACATATTTAACTTTAATATTAATGGAAATACAATTACTTCCGGTTTGAAACGTCAATGTCAATTTTGACATATTTGTACACAAAGATGACGCACTTATCTCAAAAAACAAAAAAGTTACAACAAAAAACATTAAACCCAAAGTTAGCAACAATGAAGATAGCAATTTAATTTTTAAATATTAATACCAACCTTAATTTTTTATTTTCTTTTTTATCATATTTTTGTTTTAGTGACAAATATAAAGACATTTTATAAATATTAAGAATATGCAAAATGACATTGACATATCAAACCGGAAGTTGCTTATATCTCGAGTAATATTGGAATTAAACGTATCATGTTTCGACTCATTCAAAGGATTTCAAATTTTTCAGGACGATTACAAATATGTCAAAATGATGACGTTGACATTCTTAACCGGAAGTTGACCATAACCTCATTAATATTGAAGATAAATATGTCGTGTTTGTACTCATTTTAAAGGACTTTTAATGGAGATTACAAATATGTCAAAATTGAGGTTGAAATTTTAAACCTGAAGTTAGTTATCATATAATAGAAGTTTTATAACTGAAGTTAATCTAGTGTTAATCACTTTTCCGCACTTTCTTTTTATTTGTAACGTGTTTTTTCGGTCATTTCACATTGATTAAAAAAAATCGTCGATTTTTAAGCCACATGATGATTCTTGAATTTTTCCCAAGTTTCTTAATATTTCTTTTGTTAAAAAAGAGCGCTCTTAAATTTTAACCTGTAAACTTGTAACACTTCGTAATTAATTTCATTTTACAACTTTTTAAACTTTAATTTTGTAGATTAGTAACTAATAATCTGATTTCGACTTTGATATGTGATCTTTTTTAACAAAACAAAAAGAAATATTAAGAAACTTGTTTATAAAGTGGATAAGATGAGAGATGTTAAACTATTTGTAGAGTCTCTGAAGATGGCCAAGGGCCGAAACTGGTTAGACTTAAATTCTAGATAAAATAAAAACCAGTTTAAAAGTACAAAATCAAACTCTAGATCATTTTCGTAAAAAATTTTTATACGAATCGTCATCACTTTATTTCTAGTTTTAGTGATTAAATTTATACCACGTCTTACAGAAACACTGCTACACAGGCTTCTATGCTTGTGATAGCTGTCATCAGTGTTCTGTGATAACAATGGACAGACACCAAACAATTTTCAATAGTTTGAGCCTGTCTATTCTGAGAAGTGTTATATTTTTAGAACGAAAATCCCGTTTTTCTCAACATTATTTATTTGTCGCTTAGTCAAGTGGTGCATAACGCGGTCCATATATTGTAAAAGTATATTCTTTCAAACAAACAGTAATAGATTAGAAATTTCAATGTTCTATAAAGATACAAGGCAAAAACCTTCGTTCATACAAAAACTTACATCTCGTTTAGGCCACTTTAAGAACAGCACCGAGACGTTTCGAGCCCATATCGTTCATCTGACAGTTAGTCAAACCGCTATTCGAGCTCGAATAATAAATGACGAGATCATTTTTTGCCCGGCGATAGATGGCGCTCCGAACCGCGTCCAGATAAGAGCATAGATGTGCGATCGTATCTATGATTGCGCAATTTCAACCTTCCGATCCTGCTACTAGTAGTTACAATTAGAGGTGGTTGTTACTGAGGCTACGTGCTTTTATGAGTAGCCTTCTTCTTTTCTTCTTATTCATTTTCATCTTGTTGTTTTGCTGTTACTAACCGAACGGCGATGAGTATCGGTAGCTGTTCGTACGGTCGAAGATGAATGACTGGCAATATACAATAGGTGCTCTTTGTACTTGAACTATTTCGTTTGTAATTGGTTAAGATTTAAGGGTATAAATAAATTGTTTGTGCACGTTTTGTGTTTATAATAAATTATATGTAATTTTTTTAATTTCAACAAGATTCCCAATTTTTAATTATTTGTAATTATTGATCATAAAAGTAAACAACCGCATTATAATCATTGTAGAAGGCATATTACAAGCAATAAACGCACGATATAATTATACCCCTTAAAAAATACCAAATTACTCAATACCATTGGGCGATACCTTCGCGTCAGACAGGTGTTCGATTGCGTCAACAAGTAACATTCTGAAAAGTCTACATATTAAATTGTTCTGCGAAACTAATATCCGAACAATTAATTTTGCTTAATAAATAGGACTTTGCAAGTCTATAATTACATAATATTTAATTGCTCAATCGTTTTGATTTTCATTTTGAAATGCGGAATTTAATTTTTTGAAGGTAACGTAGTTCAGTGCACCTGTAGAGAAGGATGACGAGATAGGTCATTATGTCAGTGGTGAAATTATCTACAAAAGCATTCGAAATTACAGCAATCGAGGGGCGGCTCTGCGACCACAGGTTCAAGCCTGTGAAAATTCGCGATTGTTTGTGGTGGACTTAAGCAACGAATGAGGGTTGAGGGGCGCTTCTTTTTCTTGTCAGAATGACACACGGTTGCGTCTCGCGCGTTCGGTCTTTTCCAGCGGATGCTCTGAACCAGAACGTCTCGAGTTCTTTCTCACGATCGTCGTCGTCGAGACCGCTTCACTACTGCCCCATATAATCAGGATTCGTCCTCATTTAAATAAAATTAATTAAGCCATCGGATCTCTTTGTTTCCGATCCCACTCTCGCTCGCATGGGAACTGATTACGTATGTGCATCCGATTTTATACATTGTGAGCAGTAAACGGCGTCTGGATGGAAGGTTAATAACGGAAGACGGGCCGCAAAACAAATTGCCGACGTTGTAATGAAGGATGTTTTGATTTCTAATGGGTTTGTCCGCGTGACGAGCGCCCATCAACACGCAGAATCAATTTCCAGAGCAATTCAAACGACTGTAATTTTGAGAAACGTCAGAATGTGTCAGCATTAATGCTACCCGTCTGAGATAATCCATTTATTTTCGTCACAACAACTTAAACCATTATCTTACATAACACCATTTTAATCATTTATTCATTATAATCACTTACCTTAATGTGTGTCATTCGATGATAATAAAGATTTGACGACGCAGTAAACCTTTTCAAGCAAACGGGGCATTGATGAGGCTTCTCGCCACTGTGTATTCTTCTGTGGGTGTTCAATGACGAAGACGTGCTGAATCCTTTTCCACAAACCATACAAACGTGTGGTTTCTCTCCTAAAAACAAACCCCGTGAAGTGTTAACAACTATTATGTTACATAAAAGAGTTTGGCTTACCAGTATGCGTACGCATGTGCCTCTTAAGTAACGAAGGTCTATCGAAAGCTTTACTACACACGCTGCAAGGAAGAAGACTTCGTTCCCTTGGTCTAGCCCTTGGCGTTGGTCCCGTCGTTTCTGGAATATCACCTTGCGAACTGGCTGCCGAACTATCACCGGAAACAGATTTTCCTTCGTCTTCAGCCGATGGTGGAGATCCAGATAAAGCTCTCGATAAAAGAGACATTGAAAGATCTAACGGAGAATCTGAAATAAATCAATAAATAAATCAAACCAAGAAAAAGTAAATTAAATTTGTAAGCTTGTTATGTTTTACAATTATTAACTTATCTACTTAGTTCTTAAGAGATCTAGTCGTGAAACTAAAAAGAAGAATCAGGAAATCTTTAATTTAATAAAACCACAGTCCCGTTCTTCGGATTCCTTGGTATTTCTTCCGCTCTAGTACACTCGAATTGTGCGACGGCAAAGCGGATTGAGTCCCAGCAGATAGCAATAAAGGTGGCAATCATTGGAAGCATTGGTCCGGGCAAACAACAGGCAAAGAACGTCCGTGGAGAATTTGTCACGTCTAAAAGATGGAATCTACTTCCAATTAATCAACATCGAGCTGTGAGCGTTTTAGAAGGTTCGCGAAAGTGCAATTACGATTTAGAGGTCTCGCAAGAACCGAGAGAGGAAGAAGAAAGTAAACTACTTTGAGAACAGAAAAAAAAGGTTACTTTCGTATGAGGAACGAGAAAGGCTTGGATTTGGAGCAAAACCGTTTCAAACAGTTTCGTCCTTTTATTGTAGGAACGAATAAATATGACGAATGTCCGAAGAAAATTGCTACAAATTGAAGAACGACAATAGATCGTTGTGTTAAACGGCTGCACAACCGATCCGTGGCCAATTTCAAAGGACGACGGCGTGATAGAGTCATTCCAGAACCAAAAGTGGTACTGACGACCGTCTACAAGACGCGGATGGCCGTCGGGACGAGGAACTATGTTAGGAGCGCGCGGCTGTCGCAGTAAATTGCGCCTTTTTGCCCGTCCGACGGTCCGTCTGCGTGTTTGATACCGTGACGACGGAATGCGTTTAATGAAATTCGTGATTAGCGGCCTCCGGCTCCGGAATCCGGTCCTGCTCTCGCTGCTCGCTCAATCGCGAACGGGAAGGAACGGAAAGGAAAATTGGGCGCAATACCGCGGCCACTTTTTCTCTCGTTCTCTCCCACTTTCGTTTCCTACACGTATTCAAGACGACGCATTGTTTTGTCAGAATAAAATGACGCCATATAAACACACTCGTTCTTAAAGGAAAGTAAACATCAACTTTGGACATGGTCCCTTTTTTATACTTTATAAAAAAATTTCTAATTATCAACATCTTATAAGATATACAACTTATTGTTTATATCTCATCTTATAAGATAAGGCAAGAATAAACAAACAGGTAACGCAGCGACTAAATCGAATTAACACAAAATACGGAGAAGGAAGTGTCCGTTATTGCCAAAAGTTTTCAGTTCAATTTTCAGTTTAAACTGTTTGAACGAATAGTTTTAAAACAAACAAATTTCGACAGCTATCCACACCATTGAGTTCACTCTACCTGGTTTTATATTTATCTATCGCTGAATAACAACTAAAACTAGAACTAACACTAGACCTAAAACTTTCGAAAGTAAACGTTCTATGAAATCGTCATTAAAAATATACTGTAATAATATCACTTATGATAGCATTAAGAGGTGGCGTTAATATAAAACAATAAAAAGTCATGGAAACAAGATAAAAAAATAAATGATAGTAGTAAATAAACATAAAAAAGTGTTAAGTCGAATTTTTGAATTAAAGAATTTCTGTTTGAACCTGCTCCCGAAATATTCTATGATATATTTAAAAATTGTGTTTTGATAATAAAATACACGTTCATCACAATACTTAGACACCCTTAGATTTTTAATGATTTCTGGCAGCTTGGAGCCGCCTCAGAGCGTTAATAGTGCGTGGTACCCTCAAGGAGCGCTTGTTCATACTATTCTGGAATTGAAATTTACTCTCTCAACTTTAAGCACGAAGAGATTTCAAAAAGGATTAAAAACCAAAGGAACTAAAAATTAATATTAATATAAAAAAAATCAAAAAAGTAAGCGGATAAATTAATAATTAAGATATTAGTCAAGACTGCAATTTGGCCGAAACACTTCTATATTATTTCTGAAAATGGTTAAAACGTGGCATCTTCAAAAATAAGTATAAAGTATTCCTAAAGAAGACTGCAAAACACTTCAAAATTGTTTTTAAAGTATATATAGTTGCAATCTTTTTCAGAAGTACTTCGAATTTGTTTCTGAAGAAGATAGCAAGTTGGCTAAATCACTTCTATATTGTTTCTGGATGTGGTACATGTGGCATCTTCAAAAATAAAGTATTCCTAAAAAAGACTACAAGATAGTGGAAACACTTCCAAATTTGTTTTTGAATATATCAAGTGCTCTGCAAGCAGTGTCAAGTCTTTTATTTGTAGTGTCTAGTCTTTCCTTAACAATATATAGTGTTATGCAAGCAGTATTTAGTCTTTTGCACATAGATTTAGTCTTCTAATAAAAGTATATAGTTATATGTGGTCTTTCACCAGCTATATATAGTTTTACATAGCAACATCTAATCCTCTGCCATCAGCGACTAGGTGGACCCACGTATATCTAGTCTTCTGCAAGGAGCAGATAGTAACTGTATTGAGCAAATATCACCAACAACCTCGAATCACTTTGAATCTGGTTTTAAAGTTCACACCAACTTAGAATGACTTTAATATCACTTTTTTAAGACTATATTATCTTAATATCTTGATAACCGCATTGAAAGTATTTTGGACAAATTTGAAAATGAATCAAAAATGAAATAACAATAAAAAATAGGTGTGACAAATTATCTAAGAAATATTTCTAAAAATTAATATTAATATAAGAAAAATCAAAAAAGTAAGAGGATAAATAGATTATTAAGAAATTAGTCAAGACTGCAACTTGGCCGAAACACTTCTATATTATTTCTGAAGATGGTTAAAACGTGGCATCTTCAAAAATAAATATAAAGTATTCTTAAAGAAGACTGCAAAACATTTCAAAATTGTTTTTAAAGTATATATAGTTGCAATCTTTTTCAGAAATATTTCGAATTTGTTTCTGAAGAAGATTGCAAGTTGGCTAAATCACTTGTATATTGTTTTTGGATATGGTACATGTGGCATCTTCAAAAACAAGTATAATGTATTCCTAAAAAAGACTACAAGATAGTGGAAACACTTCCAAATTTGTTTTTGAATATATCAAGTTCTCTGCAAGCAGTGTCAAGTCTTTCATTCGTAGTGTCTAGTCTTCCCTTTATGATACATAGTCTTATGCAAGCAGTCTTTTGCACATAGATTTAGTCTTCTAATAACAGTATATAGTTATATTTGGTCTTCTACCAGCCACATATAGTCTTCTGCAAGGAGCAGATAGTAACTGTATTGAGCAAATATCACCATCAACCTCGAATCACTTTGAATTTGATTTTAAAGTTCACACCAACTTAGAATAACTTTAATATTACTTTTTTAAGACTACGTAACCTAATATCTTGATAAACGCATTGAAAGTATTCAAAATGACACTTTTTCATTCACCAATATTTCGCTTTTATTATTAAAGCTTTTTCAGGGTTGGGTAGCTGATTTTATGGTTTTTATTAATTTTTTTCGCCCTTTTCAAATGCATCAATTGCTGAAAGAGACTAGATATTGCAGGCAGAAGACTAAGTATTACTAATGAAAGACTAGATGTTGCAAATGAGGCAGATTCTTCTTACAGAAGACTTCACACTACTACTAGAAGACAAAATACTGTTGGTAAAAGACCAGATATTGCTGCAGAAGACTAGATATTGCTGGCAGACGACTAAGTATTGCTAGTGAAAGATTAGATATTGCAAATGAAGCACATCTTTCTTACAGAACACTACACACTACTATTAAAAAATCAAACACTGTTAGCAGAAGACTTAATTTTACTGTCAGAAGACTTAATTTTATTGTCAGAAGACCAAATTAAGTTGTCAGAAGACTAGATATTACCAATGGTAAAAATCCCGTCTAAATTTCTATCCAATACTTGTTAAAATTGCATCTCTCGCTTCCCGATTTCTATGTTCTTTAGATTTGGTATTTCAAAGACCTGCATTTTCTTCATACACTTCAATTAATTCAAATATGTCTTGTTGGGACTATTTTCTTTTAGGCGTCATTTTTAAACGTGTTATCTTACTCGCAGCAAATTCGAACCATGTTCGTTTTTTGACAGTTATTCTCACGATAGATAAATTGTGCGAGTCCACTTTGTTGGTGGGGACTCTCTGATACACCATGCACCAGAAAAAATACTCTCGATAGCTCGACACCTAGCTTAACACAGCTTAGAATTAGAAACATTCAGGTTTAGCCGTCTCAAGAAACGCACGGCTAAACCCGAATGTTTCTAGATCTAGCTTTAGTGTTAGTTCGACTTTTCGTTCATAAAAATGTACAACAGTCTAGCGCTGAATAACAATTAAAACTAAAACTACCGGCCTTGATTTATACATCATAACTTGAAGGGAAACTTGAGAAATAACTCGAGTTGGAATCAAAATAGTATCACTTAAATATATTTTGTCCGTTATATCCAAAGTCAGTTCTAACGAGGTTAGTTATATCGAGGTTTTACTATATAAGAATTGTATAACCTACCTTCTAGAATAGAATCCATCGTTTGTCTATACAACGAAGCCCTCATTCTAACAAAGAACAATTCTTCAGGTCTCTCAGGAAGGTAATACACGATCAACTCCGTATCTGGAGGTATGGGTTTGACGGCTTCGTACACGGGTTCACCTCTGACCTTAGTTGCAACCAAATTGACCGAAGGGTTAAAGGCGTTGGCTACTCTGATGAACCGAACCCAGTTGCAGTGTCGGACTTTTCTCGATCCGATTCCAGAAATCTCATCGTAACAACCGAACCTATGCCGGATCTGAAACCAACAAAACAAAAAAAAGATAAATAAAACAAAGTAAATTAAATAAGAAAAAGCTAAGATCATTCGTTACCGACCAAATCGTAAACAATTAACGCGTCAGCGCGACTGCAAAACCGCAATTTGTTGATGCGCGAGCTCGCCTTAAACGCGCACGCTTAATTGCTTAAACAAAGATGGATCTGCGTTTCCCATTTTGCACCGGGCGCCCATTAATAACACGTCAAAAGTGATTTACCGTGGTCGGTACGGGGCAGCTTTCCGCGGGTCGCATTAAGCGAAACGGTCCCATATTTTTCGCTTAGACCCGCAAACCCTTTTTTTCTTTAATTATAAGATTTAATTGAATGTCGTTAACAAGCGGATATATGAGCGCGTGAACGTGCATGTATATTCATGCGCGAATTGCACGAATCGTTCGTCATTTGTTATTCGAGATATAAGGCCATTATTTCAGAAAAGAAAGAGGAAAAAATGTACACCTTTTACATTAATCGGATCAATATCAGGGCATCCTGTCCATATGTTTTATAAGTATTGAAAACGTACACTTTTAAACGAAGCGAATTCGATGTGTTTAGAGAAAAAATGTGAACTATTAAGGGTTTGAGCAATTAAGAAATGGTAATAAAGCCGCAGGTGTCAACAGGTGCCATGATGGTCGTTATTCTTTATAAGACAAGGACGTGTAGAACACTTTTTAATGATCTCTACCTTCCGTAGACCATTATAAGGAACTACCGATATCCTGCTCTTTTATTATTATTTGAGATCTTGACGGGCTAGATCTCATTATTTTTGATTTCTATTCTATTAAGTATTGAAAATCCAACCAAAAAGCATCTATTATTATATGACACAATATTTTAATGTTGTATACCTTTTTTTATGGAATTTCTTCTGGATTTTAGTTCTCACACTCCATATATATATCGATCTACGAGGTCATTGTCGTAAATATAATTGGACCGTCGTCTTTACGGCCCCTAATTTCACCTCTCCCAGGATATTTCCAATCTTCCAAGAGTACTGGCGTTCAGAAAGATTGTTCGCGGCGTCTTTAAAAGCAGCCCGGAGGGCATTCTTCTGGCACATATGAATACGACCAGAGGCCGTTCGAGCAACAGAGCAGCGTCCGTTCTAGAAAAACGCATAATGGGCGGCAAAGCCGCGATCGTCCGCGACGGATATATTTCTTCCTCGGGACAAAATCCCTTCTGTGCGAGTGAGACAGAAACGGTAGCAATTGCTGCGCGATAGCGGCGAGAATCAAAGTGCGCCGAACGGGCCGGACACAGTAAATGCATGCATGTATGTATTAGCGCAAGGATGAGACAATGGCGGCCAGGATACAAAGGAAGCCGACCGGTAGCAGGATCAGGTCCTCCTCAGACCGATACTTTTCTAAAGATAAACAAGGACCAAAACAGCGGATCTCCTTTTCAGTTTCTCTCTTCGTTTTCTTGTTGCCCTTCTACCTTGGTGCGCAGTGGTGTGCGTGCCGGATCCTTTGAGCTTTGAGCCTTACAATTGCATAGCTTACCGGCTCGATTGTAACCCGTGGTAAGAGCATCCGAGATATGCGCTGGCGATGCCGCCAAAGTAAAAGGACACAAGAAGTAAGGGGAAAGGGAACAGATTTCTAAGTTTTTTCTTCATTTTACTTTAGTGAAGATCGTCTTGATTAAACGGTTTGTTTGGGACATCTAGATTTAAACATTTTAAATAAACTCTTAATCAATACATTCATCGGGAATTATTTAATATCTTTTACTTCTTATTTTCAGTAATTATTTTCCCATTTTCATAAATCACTGCGTGATTTGATAAATATTCATCGTAGAGGTAAATAATAATTATTGTATCCTTAATGTGCATAAGGTTTTTATTATTAATCATCCATCGAAAAACTTATAACTACTGAGACAATCACTGGCTATGATGGATTATCTCGCCGGTAATTATTCATACCTGTGTTCAAATTGCCCGGCGATAACCACAGCAATTAAGCATGATAACGTGCAATTAAGAGCTATTGTGCAAGGCTCGCGCAGTCATTGAAACAGCACGAATCCGAAGCGATTTATCTAGACTTTTTGCATTTTTCTCAACTGTGTGCCGAGAAAACAGAAGTTTAGCAATTACCGCGATTAACATTTCGATAAAAATGACCTGTCCTCGAGGTGAGTTCTCGTATCGTCTATATCTTGAGATTTGTATTGTACAAATTAACAAGGCAACGAACGCCTTAATTGACAATCGAGTAGAAAATAGTAGTGACATTGAAGTAATTGCGATCTATTTTTATTCTAAAAACTTCTTTTTTCTCAAGTTAGGGTATTTGTAGAAGAATTATTATAGAGGATTTCGCTTCATGAATGAATTCAGCGTGTATAAGGGCGTCGAGGATGCACAAGATTCATATCCTCGTACGGTCGGCGAAACGTACAAATGCGCACTTTAAGACGCATGTAAGATTTGATTTACCGTCCGCTCCGCAACCATAAATCGTCTGGATACATCGGCAAGAAATTTATAAATCTCCCGGGACGTTGATAAATCATGAAAAGAGTTGTAGTGAATATGATACCGATATTCGGTAAATTAATATTTTGCCACTTAGCAATAAAAATATCAGAAAATGTTTTATACATACAAAATAATCCAAAAAATAATCGACGATAAATATACAGAAGATTCGAAAAGTAGACTAATTCTTTAAAGGTTCTTATAACTCTTTGAACTCTAATTACTAGTAAAATCCAAATACGAGGTAAAAGATTGATTGCTTCTTTCACCTTTTTTTTATATTAAAAATGTCTAAAATAATTATATTAATGTATCGTTTAACCTGAACATCACATTAGTCTTTAATCCATTGCTTACTCTGTGCATATCTACCCATTAAATACGCTTTCAAGTAATTTGTATGATATAAAATATCATAGATAATGCTATAATACATTGTTAATCACAAACGTTTTGTTAAAAATCCAATAACACTAGTACAGCTTCTACCCTTTACTGTATCCCTTAATCATTATAATTTCTGCCCTTTATGTCATTTAATAGTGCGATTAAAATCATTACATCTACATGTAATGTAAAATATGGTATGTGGCGACATATGGTATTTAAAAATATACTGTCCGTCAAGAAAATTAATTGTTAATTGCCACAGTATTTTCTGTGCTATCGTCATATATAAATTTATGGCACGACGTATATATCAACTATTATTACAATAGTATAAAAGTAGGAATCGCAAAACAAAACAAACGTCTATGAAACAATTAGGGGAAACATAGGAATGCAATGTTTAAAATCTGTTATGTTGAAGGATATAGTTTAGTGAGTTCCGGAGAAAAGAGATTTCGACGAGACATTCAACAAATATCGTCGTATGTGTGAATAAATGGTCAAAAAAATGAGAATGAAACAAATTTCTATGGGATCCTATGGCACTGATCATAACAGTCTAATCGTAACAGTGGAACCTGCGTGAAATTAGCTTAAGATATCAGAATGTTGAAATATTAGCCTGAGTTTAAACTCAAGGATCTTACACAGAAACGTCAAGTTCAAGCTCTTCTCAAGTGTCAAACGCAGATCTATAAGTACGTAAGTCAAAACCCTGTTAAAAAATATTAGAAAGAAAAATGAACTAAAGCTAAAGGAGAATATATTTCAAGACAGTGGTGCGAGGTTGAGTTTTGGCAGGTTTGTTCGGTCTCTAATGACGTAAATCGCATTGCAATCAGTGCTTCGAATGCTGTAGTAAAGAAATTGAAGCAACCTTGGGTAAAATAGCTAACAATGTCAACAACTGTAACGATTGATACTGGATGGATACATTGTATAAGAAGTTATTGACCTCTTGTATTGAAATAAACCATACTTAAGACTTGTTCTGTGGATCTAGTATCCGATATTTGATGCGATTTTAGACTACACGTCATTGATCCAAAGAATTTGATTATAGTTACCAAACCCTGTATTTTGTGGATAAAATACGTTGTGTTGCAGAAACATATGTGTGACAGTTGGCATCTGCTTTCCAGACTCTGGATGATGGGTGTTCGGAAAATTGCTTTGGCAATCGATTCCATCAATATTTGTCTTCGAACGGTCGCAAATTGGTGATATTAATATAGCTTAATTGTAAACTGGGTAAACTCTGAAAGAAAATGCTCCCAGTCGGGGTTGTTTTCCAGAACATTCCAGTATTGCGACGGTCATATCGGAAATATAGACCGTCCTCTCAATATCATCGCATTGTTGGTTAGGATCTCATAGCGCCTGCGATAAGGTCTTCGTCTTTACAACTCAAGGGAGATATATGGTGACATTCCTTTGGGCGCGTAGAAGTTTCTGAATACAGTACTGTTGAGGTTGCTGTTGAAACTTTGAAGAGAAAATCAGTGGTGAATTTTGCAAACCTTAAAAATTGATTGGGGTTGGTCCCTATTTGCAAGAATACAAAATCGGTTAATCTGACATTCGTACCATGTGCGGATTTGAGTCATTACTACAAAATCTGCGGTGGTTATGTTTTTTTTTATTAGAATGAACGTAGCTTGGTTATTGATTAATTTGATTATAGTAACTCCCTGAATGATGATCATGATCTTATTCTTCTTTGGAATTTTTATATAGTTTCTAGACGTGGCCGAGTTTCTACTGTTATAGATCTCAAATCGTGATGATAGCGCACTTATAACCTTTCTGGTTCTATTTCCTGTTTCAAATGATCTGGTTTGTGTGACATTACATTTTAGCATGATGTTTGCTGTATCTATATTTTGCCTAATAACGATACTCTCTGAAGCTTCTGAGATTAGCTGCAATGACTATGATTGAAGCTTTAGTTTTTGTTACTCCTTGTTGTGGTATTGGGTCAACTAAGACAACATAATAGTATAAGTACGAAAACTTTATAAGTACCTTTAAGTAAATTACCTTTATGTTTGATGGCAGTGTTATGTTTGGAACGTTGC